CGATTTTTCTGAATGGAGACAAAGACCTTGTAATTGCAGAAAAAGGCCCCAGAGCATGTAAAAAAAAATTCTTAAACATTTCTTGTACACATTTGTGCCTCAAAACTCCACAAATTATACCCAACTAGTTGTCAATTATCCAATTATCACTTATTTATTTTCTAGCAGGTTTAATAATGCAACAAATGAGCCGTTTTGTAAACACAGTAAGTACTTCGCTTGACCAGGATTGACACCTGTGACGTCAGAGCAATGGCACGTGTCATGGCGATTAAAATATGCATATTGAGAACTTCAAACTTTGAATCGCTGAAACATAAAAATATTTCTTTTCTAGCAAAGAATTTTAATAGCATGAAAACTTTGTCATATCAAAAAAAATTTGAGACATGTCAAAAATCTTTTAAGGGTCCACTGAAGTATAAAATATATCAAAAATCAACTGATAGATGAACGATAGATAGATGATAGATGAACTAAGATATACGGAAAAGTAGATCCGTAAAACCGATTAAGATCCTTCAAATTTAAAACAAAGAAAGAAATAGTTCCCTTTATAATTCAAAACAGTGAATGTTTCGCCTTATTACGTCAAATAGTGGACAAAAAAATAGTCCACAGGAAGACTTTTTCCCCTAATGGTTGACAATTTGACTCTGAACCTGTATTGTCATCACAAAGGTCGACACCTAATTGGTAAACTCTTATCCCTCAAAATAAAGGTCGACAGGTCGACATCAAATTGCTAAATCTTATTCATCACAATAAAGGTCGACAGGTCCACAGTTGACACCCAGTTGGGATACTATTTTCACTTAAAACAAAAGTCGACAAGTCAACAGTTGATACCCGTTCGGTTTCCTTTATAGATCAAAACAAAAGTTGACAGGTCTAAAGTTGACTACCTCTCGGTATTCCTTTTACCCTCATAAAATCCTCTCGAATTAATAAGTTTTGTTTTGTGCGAACAAACACAAGGTATAAGGTTAGTCTTGTAAAACCTCTCAATTGATCGACCCCTCCAGAGATTAGGGTTAGTCCTCGAATATACCTGAGAGATACGGGTTAATTCTCGAACCCTCCTGATAGTTAAGGGTTAGTCTTCGAACCAAACTGAAAAATTGTTAGTCCTCGAACCCAACTGAGAGATTAGGGTTAGTCCTCGAACCAACCGGAAAGGTTAGGGTTAGTCCTCAAACTCACAGGAGATAATAATCCGTCGACCTGTCAACCCGTCGACTCGTCTACCTGTCAACCTGTCGACCTGTCAACCCGTCGACCTGTCTTCCTGAATACATGTAGACATGTCAAGCAAACAATCTGTCAACCTGTCGACCTGTCTTCCTGAATACATGTAGACATGTCAAGCAAACAATCTGTCAACCTGTCGACTCGTCTACCTGTCGACCTGTCAACCAAACATTCTGTCAATCCGTCGACTTGTCATCCTGTCGACCTGTAAACCTGTCCACCTGTCGATCTGTCCACCTCTCTGCATGTCCACAATTTTACCAAAAAATTCTTACACTACATAAAATTTCTCCAATTTTCCTCATATTTTTTTAGCATTGCACATTAATTCTTCAGAACTTTGGCGTATGAAAATATTTACCGGTACTACTTATCCATATGTCCTAGTTGAGCCGCCATGTTGGCCAAAAGCAAGCGAAATAGGACGATCATGGATCAACAAAATAATAGTTCTATGACTCATTAGCAAATCATAGTACTTATCAGTGCTAATATACTCCCATTTGTCACTTATAAACATGCACACTAAACAAAACAAAAGAGATTGTCAGAAATGAACTCGTATAGTAAACTTATTACATTTCTTCTCTTGGTCTTTGAACAACATTAAATAAAATCTTTATTACATTAATTTTATTCAATTGACTTATCAATGACATTGTTTAATGTGAGTATTTATCATAGATAAATAGCAAAGAGATATATCAAAGTAGTGTAGACATTTCCTTACAAGATCAACCAAGTTCTGCACAGTACTAGAACATTTCACCCAGTAGTCCAGACTTTCACAAATTCCAGTAATATACCCTTGCTCGTTACAAATTTGTACTCAGTTTGCCTCCTAGATGCCCAGGAGCAAAGAAAGATCTTCAAAGAGATATTCCATTCTCACTAGGGATGTATAATCAATAGAACCCCGCCCTCACACCAGAATCCCCGATGGGGCTTAATATACATGGGGAAAGAAGATGTCTGAAGAATTTACACATTTTTACTATATGGTAAATAGAGCCCCGCCCTTACACCAGAACCCCTTGCCCATTGGCCAAGTTGCACAATTTTCGATGAGGCACCCAAGCACTTAGTATGTTTGCTAAATACCGACAGAAAAGAAGATTTTCAAAGAAATAATGCATTTTCACTATGTAATCAATAGATACCCGCAAGAGCTTCATGAAAAAATTGCCTACTGGCAAAAAATGGCCCGATTCAAAACTTCTTTTAATCTCCAGGAAACATTTTTTATGCATTCTGGAAAATAAATTTTGGAAAATCAGCATTGATGTTGAAATTTTCTGGAGAAAAAAAATGCCTCCTACCAACCCATTTTTTTTAATCCTGAGTCGGGAGAGGGCAAACAAACATTATTTAAAAGTTGGCCTTATATTTACATTTTACATGTTTAAAAGCAGCAAAATACACTCAGTGTTTGAATTTTAGATGCCCTATACATTTCTATTTTTATTAACTTCTCTGTAGACACATTGTGACGTCACTTTAGCGCAATTTTCTCCGATTATACTTCTACGGGTGAGTGTACACGAAAATGGCATTCAAATCAATTTTCATATTTAGTATAATGGAAAAACACAGTGAATTAAATATTTAAAAAATGGTAATTTGCAGTGAGCAATCACCATATCGTTTCAGGATTTGTCTAGGAAATGTTCTTTTATAGTATGATGCAAAACATTAACGGCATAAATTATGCTGTTTAATACAAGTCCTTACAAACAAACATTCTGAGAGTATTGCATTAGCAATACTAGTTCGGCCCCTACCGGAAGTGTAATCCGGTTCCGTAATAATATGTAGTACGTAGTAATTCCGTCAAAAAATCATTGAAACGGAACATAATGCAAACTTGATCTCTTACTCATCAAGGTACACTCACATACCAAAAAATCAGCTTAATACATGTATCTGCAAGCGTTTAGAAAAAAGTGTGAAAAACCCTTAAAAATTAAAATGGCCGTTATTCCCTCAAAATTTTACTGAAGCGGAACGAAATCCTAATTTGATCTGTAACTCATCAAGATACACTCGCCAAAATACAGCCCAATATCTGCAAGCATTTAGAAAACAAGTGGGACAGACTGACAGACAGACGGAGGGACAGTCGTACAGCTAGACAAACAGACGGACGGACAGACGAAGAGGAAATTTATAGTTCTCTCCGGTCTCACCGGTATTGAACTAATAACAATCTTCTTTGAAATATGATTTTTCTTTTTTTTTTTACACGTTAACAATGAAAATCCAATGGCTTATTGCCCATTACTTATTGCCATTTATAAAACTAACTACTACGATGCTATCAGTAGTGTCAGTTGCTGCATATACATAATGTCTCTCTATGGGTTAAGTGTGTTCCATTGTCAATTTCTTATTATCATTGTCTAATCGCAGTGAAAGATATTTATCCAATGCCAGTCACGCTTAATATAGGACACCTGCTTATGGCAAAGTTCAATATGAGGAAAAAGTTGTATAAAGCAGATGGTACACACTACTTCTGGCTGTGCCTAGAGGGTTTAACCGCTGTTTTGTAGTGTCAATTACTATGTTACTCATTGGTTTCTCGATGTTGTAAAAGTTTTACCAGTTTACTGGCTTTATGTTTCTGCTAATCGGTGCATAAGCAGAGAATATTATAATTTCATTATGAATCCAATGATTGCCGGATAGCAGTGTATAAATCATATATGCACTGTAAAACTTCCTTTCAACCTATGATCCTTGATATTCACAACAAGCAATACTTTCAAGGGTATAACAAAACGCCATATGGCAACAACTTAATTTTCAAAAGGTAAATTGTATTGTTATTCATGATCTATGCCATTTTACTCTCTAGCAGCGCTTTTATGTTTCTTTGACCCATGCTTTCCATCTCTTACTTTGACCATGCGAAAAAATCAAATAATACCACTTAGTGAATAAGGGAATTAAACATTTCGTCCTAAAATAAGAGAAAACAAATGTCTGAGACAAAGTACACGTGCACTTAATTGGAAATAAATCTGATGGATTTGTGTAGGACAGGTTTCGGTGTCAGCTTGTAAGCCAGACAAATCTTCTCTGTCAAAAATACTGTACTTGTTTAGTGAGTGGTACGTTTACTTATTGCATCAGCAATAATTTTCCATACGTTTTAATTTCCAGTCCTTAAACAGACATTTTGAATCAAATCTTTTTAAATAATCTTTGGGAGATAAATTGAAAGCTAAGAAATGCACACGATAAAAAGATGAAATGTTCAATAGGACGTTTTAATAAATGAATATTACTTAGGCAGTTGCCGTTCTGGATCCAAAAATGCAAAAAAGCTTTAGCATATAAGGACTTAAAATTGATTTCATTGATTTGCTTTCTTTACTGTACTTGTATTTTCGTGTATTAAAAATTATAGGAGGTCCGTGTTTGCTCTGCTCTCGATTTGTATTGTTTAAATGGACTTTGAGCTTGAATAATGTTCATTATCTCCATATTTCATGATCATGGATTTATTGCATAGTCTTTACACTATTGTATGTATGTAATACTGACATTTATTCATATTTTGGAGTTAGCCGTGAGTGAAAGGCACCAAAATAGAAGTTTTCTTTAATAATTTTAAATACAGTTTTCAAATATCTCGATCACTACATATTTAGATGAAATTACAATAAGTATTTCATGGTGAAAAAGAGAAAAAGAAGAAAACTTTCGTTAAAACAAGATATATGATATAAAATAAATTTACATACCTTTCTCGTGACACGAGGGATGTAGAAATTACTCTTTTCAAAACCAGTAAGAATAAATACTTATGTGTCTACGAAAAAGATGACTTTAATTTGCATGGCATCGTTTGATATAACATCAAACCCTAGCATGCGTTGTACTAACCGATATTTAGTGAGAAGCATATCCATGTACTAGCAAATATGAATCGTGTTTCTATCATAGATACCTTTACATGATATATAAAAACAATGACAGAGGTGTCTAAAATGAGTGATTGATCTATATTTGAATCATTTCTAATAAAGTGAAATGGTTATGGTGCCTTGCATCTATAAAATTGAACAGTGTGTATCAATCACATTTGATAGTCATACTGTATTACTGCTAATAATGTAAAATTTTATCAATGCATAGCAGCCCTGTCTTGTTACTTTGTAATGAAACATTTTAAAATTAACAACACAAAAATGAAATAAATGTATGAATAAATGAGTTCAAAAGGAAAGCTCAAAAATAAAAATTCATCATGCGCGTACTTAAAAGGAAAATTAGTAATGCAAATCAGTAACAATATTTAAAAAAAAAAGCAAATTTCAGAAAAGGTGAAAGTTACCTTTTATTAATCGAAAAAATCACACAAAGTTACGTTCTCATTGTACAGAAAAATATAAATGTTGTAACTAAATTACTCACTTTTAAGATGAACCATAAAATGGGATTTTGAAGATCTCACCCTTCTCTAAGGTAGTGGTAGATTAAAATAATTATAAATTCCAATACATGAAAATGAAAAAGGTTAAGATAATTCACGAATATTTATCGATCTTAAAAACGATCCACAAACAATACAAATATGTGGAAAGTGCATAAAAGCGGACCCCTGGAAATTCCAGAGGTGGGATCAGGTGCCCAGGAGGAGTAAGCATCCCCTGTTGACCGGTCACACCCGCCATGAGCCTCATGATTTAATCAGGTAGACTGAACATTCCGTAGTGAAATTCAGTATAAAAAGAAAGGCCTAACAATTGGTATGAAACACATCAGCCATAATATTTGCTAGCAAGGTCATTATAATGACCATTGAATCTTCGAAATGCTGACTTAAAACGAGGTTATTGTACTCCCCCTGTAACATCAACTTATCTGTTAGTAGCCTACCTCGGTTTAAAAATTGATCGCACTCAAGCATGCTCTTGAGCATCGAATAAGCTGGGAAACGTTAACACCATATGCAGGTGATAGCGGGATATTACTACAAGAATACGGAAAGTTGACGATGGAAAACCTGAACTCATCTCCCTAGTCATACAATTTAGTTGTTAGTTGTCCCTTATCGTCTTGGTCAGTAAAAACATGCAAATATGAAAGAGATGTGGCAGACTTTGTAGTGTTTTTTATTTCAGGATATATCAGGTTGACATATGAAATGCAAGTTACTATTGTTAATTGTTAATATATGTAAATTATATACGGTACCAATTTTGATGCACCAGATGCGCATTTCAACAAATTATGTCTCTTCAGTGATGCTCATGCGTAAAGGTTGGAAATCCAAAATATGTACATTAAAGAGACTTTGAAGAGCTGAAAAAAGTGCTTAAGACTGGAGCCAAATATGTCGAAGGATCAGAGCTATGCATGAGGGAGATAATCCTTAATTTTTGAAATAAATTTGTAAATTTTACCACAGCAATTGAATATATATCCGTATTTTTGAACTAGCACCGAAGTACTAAGCTACTAGGCTGTAGAGACCCTCGGGGACTATCAGTCCACCAGCAGAGTCCCCGATATAGCAAACTATATTATCACTCATTTATCTAGATTACAATTCTCGTGTGATTTGTTTATTTTTGTTTATTTTTCTGTGATATCTTTCTACTTTAAAAGATATCTTCTGCAGAAATGAAATCTCAGGAAAAGCAGCCTGATAACACAAACATATACAGCTGGAACTTATCTTTTAATTAAAAAATATCTTTAGTCATATCAAAATGCAAGCATATCATTTTTACTAAATTGAATAAGCAATACATCTCTATAGACTCACGATGGGAGAAATTCCTCCTCTTGAATAAAACATTTCTGACAATGACCAAAAGCAACATGTTTTGTGACATATCTTTAATAAAAGTTGCTTGCTGTGTTGTTCAAAGATACGTGTATTTAAGCTTCAGACATCCCTTGAGAAAATGAAGTAGATCAGAATAAAGACATAATCACAATTTATATATATATATATATATATATATATATATATATATATATATATATATATATATATATATATATATATATATATATATATATATATACATATATATATATATATATATATATATATATATATATATATATATATATATATATATATATATATATATATATATGAAATATAAAATTTCTTTTGACAGAAATGCATTTCTTGCTGTAACGAAAATTGTCTTTATGAATAGTAATATTAAGTTAAATACAAAGAAAATATAAAAAGAAACTATCTCTGACACTAAGAATCTCTTTCTTTTAGAATCATAATTTAAGATAAATGACAGCGTAAATAGATTAATTATCATTATATTATCATTTTATGAGGCAATGGGGGGGGGGGGGATAATAGATTCTTTATTTAAAATCAGAAATTTTATGTTCTTATCTAAAAAGACTTCAAATTGTTAACGCAATAAATAAGAATAACCAGTCCTGTCTTGATACTACATGTAAATGCACCGATTCATTATCTACTTAAACACAGAATGAGATTTTAAAATAAAATTTTGTCAGGTAGTGTAGAATTCCTTGCATGATGCATGTAATTTTAACATCATCTCGTTTTCTCGATTAAGGGCGAGAAAATAATACTAGTACCTGTATCTAGTGTTTAGGACATTTAGTTTTATGATAAATTTGCACGATAACAATCGTGGAAACATGTGACCGATTGAATTTATTTCCGATTTGTCAATCAACTACAAAAGTATTCCATGCAATGACTTTCATATGATCCTCGTCACAATTTTCAATCAAAACTGTTTTGTTCCTGAGATGTTATTACCCTTTGGGTTTTTATTGACTACAGTTTCAGCAAGACCTCGAAATAAATGCGTCACTGGAATAGAAATAGAAACAACGAAGGTTTAAATGAAGTCCCATCTGTATGTTCACTGAGTCTTATTAGCCATTTAACTCCATCCAATTAATATGAGAAAACGGATCGAATACTTCTCAGCATCCTCAGATATAGGATACCTAGGGAAAAAAGCTAATGAAGATCAGGTAACAAATTAACGACATTATCACATAAACTACAAAATATATTGCGCTTTGACATATATTTTTGGAAATTATGAGCTTAATTTTTTATACTCAAGTCTTTTGTAGAACATGCTATGATTTGTAGTTGCACCAAAGAAACTTTGATACTGTTCGTTATCTTCATATTTCATTCACAGAACATTGCACATTTTTTATTAAAATATTTTCATATCATCAGTACTAAATTTTTCAGATAAACAATTTCTAAGATGTACGAGACACAATGACTAAGTGATTCTGTTAATTACCTTCTTTGAGAATTATGTCCTGTAGTACTAATTTTATTACCAGATGCCGTGTCATGCGATAAATAACTAATGTAACCTGTGAAGTATGAGACACACCCCTTAGCGAATAAGTAGGTACATAAATCTTCAATATGTCGATTGCTGGTGAATGATTTGCTCCATTTTATTATTTACCTCAAGTGTGTTCTCATCGCAGTCTAAGAAATTATCTTGATGGCAATAAATAATTAGTAACAGTTTGAAGTGAGTAATGAAAATATCATTTATCGTTCACGTTACTATCACTCCCCATCTAAATCAGAGGAAGAACAATTACCTCAAAATAATGACCTGTAATTCATCCATTTAATTTTACGACCCTGTCAATCGAAATATCTACTGTAAGACTTTACATTCGAAACTAACGTCAAATGGCTGTGCTAATGTGTGGGAAGTCTACCCGGAAAAGAAAACATGCAACTATTTCAATACAAAAAAATTATGTTTATCTTTTTTATTTTTATCTTTTTCACTTAAATCAAATAGAGTATCGAATATAATGTTACAACAATTTGAAATAATTTTAGAATGCAAGTCGGATGATTGGAACTGCTTTTCTCATTCTAGATATAGATTCAAAAAGGTCAAGACTTAAAAAAGCATATTACCAAAGTGTATTTAAACATTATATATTACTATACAAACTGAACAATGAGTTTATTAGTTACATGTAAATTGTACTATAAATGTGTTCTTTGCCATTAATATGTAATCATAATTGTTATATGTCATGCCCCGTGAGTTCCTAATTTGGAAATAGAGGAGCACAGGGCGGGTGTGACCGGTCGGCAGGGGATGCCCACTCCTCCATGGCACCTGATCCCACCTCTGATGTTTTGGAGGTCCTTGTTTGCTCTGCTCCTATTTTGTATTGTTTAATGGACTTTTGAGCTTGAATACTGTTCGTTATCTCCATATATTTCATTCTTTTCTATTCTAAACTATATATATATATATATATATATATATATATATATATATATATATATATATATATATATATATATATATATATATATATATATATATATATATATATATATATTCTCTCTCGAGTTACGCAAAACAACATAAAATGTGAAGATTACAAATAGTAATCATGATAAAAAAAAACACGACCTCTGAAAACAGAGATCGGATCGGGTGCTATGGTGACCACCACCTGCTGTCACACTAAAACTAAACTAAAAACTCTATATATTTACAATTTTACATGTTTGATTTGAATGTAAAAACAAGTTGATATGAAATAATTCCGGACCTTCATGAAAAAACATTTGGTCAGTCTTGCATACGCAGGTTAAAATGCAATTTACATAGTTGAACAAGGTAGTAAATTATTCGATCATGTATAATTCTGTTAAAATTACGTAGCTATAAATGGTCATCCAGTCATACAGAGTCTGCAGTTCAAGAACCACCCTTTTCGCAGGCAGTACCTATACAGTCAAACCATAA